CTGCCTTTCCTGATGTCTTTGGGGTTTGTGGAGGTAGAGGCGTTTACAGCTCTAAGGTTTGGGTTGGAAGGGACCTCAGACTCCCCAGTCCAACCTCCACAGGCAGGGACACCTCCACCAGCCCAGGCTGCTCCAAGCCCCGTCCAACCTGGCCTTGGGCACTGCCAGGGAGGGGGCACCCACAGCTTCTCTGGGCAACCTGGGCCAGGGCCTCACCACCTCACAGGGAAGATGTTTCCCTCCTCACTTGATGAATTTGCTGTAATTATCTCTCTCTGAAATAAGCTTCTTACGTGTGCTTCACTTGGGACTTTTCAGCTTTTTTTCAATAAAATAGTTTTCACCCAGAAAAAAAATAGCAATGACCTTCAGAGACTTTTCTCCACCTGAGGTTATTCTATCAGACTCAAGTGTCTTTACTGATAATACAAAATTATTAGCTAGCACAATCTTCTAATGCCTTGGCACTGTTGTTACAACTTTAGTTTCTTGTAGGAGCAAGGAATAATTGGCATTCACCATAATTTCCATATAAATACCAACATTTGCGCAGTTTCCCTTTACCTTTTCATCCTCAAAACCCCCATGTTGTTTACCATTTTTAATTGTAATTCACGAGCGGGATTTCGCAAAATGCTGAAAGTAGTCTTAGAGGAACGAAAATGTTTATCCTGCAGGAGATGTTATCGTCACAAGAGCACTTTGAAGGCAGAGAACCTGCAACTCGCATGCTAGCCTTTGTGCTGCCTAATGCGCACCGCTAAATTTCGGGAGCGCTAATTAGTCCAAGATAGACTACTCTGCCGTTGACTATGTCGAACAAATTAGAGATCCCACTGTGACGAACTGAATAGAAACAATGTTCAAATAACTGGATTTAAATCTCGAAAAGCGTAATGTAATTACTTCAGTGACAGGACTACCAGCTGTTTATAGGCCTTTAAATCTGCATAATGAACAGCCCTGTGATCTTGGTGTACACAAGCACTTTCAGAGGTTTAAAGAAATTTCTCAGGCACATATGTTTTTTCCATACCTTCCATTTTCCTTTCCTTTGGAAGGGTGGCGGTTCATTGGCAAGGGCAATAAAAACTGAACATTACCATTCAACCCCTACCGCGGTGCCTGCTGTGTTCCTCTGGATTTGTATCCAAATCCTGTATCTGTAGTAATATTTTGGAGACAAGTTTATACGTCCTCAGTCATGCTTCTAAACCTTTCCAAAAAAGCTTTATTGTAACTACAAAAGCCTGGAGGGCGAGGATTGCTGTTTGTTTGTGTTTTCAAGGAGTTGCTTTCTTGAGAAGCTCTGTGCCAGAGAGGTTTTTATTTGAACTGCAGAGAGAGGAGAAGACGGCGATAAGAAAATGTGCAGTAAGTTTGCATTCAGCAAATCCTGCAGCTGCTAACGTACATCCTTGTGGTCTTCAGATGGCATTGGTGGCTGAGGAGAAGTTTGCAGCCCCCAGCCCATCTCTGCTCATGTGTGACTTCAGTTGGGTGATTTCTTGGGTTCTTTTTCACTGTCAGAACTCATAGCTTGCAGCAGTGCCACTGATCCTGTTGGCACCTGGCCACTCGGTGAAGGCTGACAGCTCTGAATAAAGACCAGGCTGCAGTCAGGTAATTGAATTAGGGAGAGGAATGACCTATTTTTATGATATTATTATTCATCATGTTGATTAGAGCAGTGCCTATGAGTCAGCCAAACACGTCAGCACATGGCAGGTCAGTGGCACTGGGTGACATGGTCCCTCGGGAAAGCGATGCTGGGACTCGCTGTGACGAGTGAATGGGGTGACCAGCACGTCTGCCTGTGCCCTCATCCTTGCGAAGAGGAGAGGTAGCCAGCCTCTGTGGCAATAAATTGGAAAAAATCTTCAAATATGAAGAGTTTTGTGTGCAGCTGATGACAGTGTTGAAACACTGTGCCTTATCATGGATGACTCACGAAGTTCAGTCAATCTGCTGGGGGATAATTTCATTGGAGTCTTGGAGTAAACAAATGGAAAGCTGAATTTTTGATGATGGACCTTTTTAATCCAGGAGTAAAAGGTCTGAATTCACCCATGATTAGAAATCAAAACTATAAAACTCAGGATTAAGAAGCTCAAACTTTACCAAAGATTAAATTAATCTTTTGAGGAATTTACCAAGATCTGTCATATCTTCTTCATGAATTGCTATTTTTTGAAAGAAATGTTATGCTTTTCAAGACTACACGCTCTAATCAAACAAGAATGATTTAGGAAAGGCCAGGTGAGATGCTAATTACATTTTTTTTCTGGATGAAATCCATGAATGTTCAAGTACCATTTGGACAGAGGGGTCTGAAATCTCCTGCAAATCATGGCCGTATTTAATTTAGCATGAAAATGTTTTCACAAACATATAAATGCAGTTTTTTTAGATACTAGTGTTGTTAAGACTGAAATATGAAGGAGGTTCAGAAGTCTCAACAGCCTGAACATCAGGAAAGCCCATGAACCATCTCCCTCTGGGTGCTCTTGGGTGAAGGACCACTCCTGAGCTGCTGCATTTCTCTGAGATGAGCAGAAAGCCCAGGCAGTCTTAGCAAACCTTTAACAAATGTGTTACTGCATTTTTTATAAATAATACCCAAACCTCATCTGTTGACTGCAGCTGAAGTAATTCATTGCGTGAAGTCATTGGCACACAATGTGCAGAAGTATGGGCAGCACCCCTGGGTGTAGGCACTGGTTTATGTTCCCTGGATGAATTCCCAGTCAAGCGCTATGGCCGTGCTAAGCTGAAGGCCACCTTGGCATTTATCTTAGATTCAAGGCTAATTTATTTAGTAGGGAACTGTTGATTTTAAAAAGCAGTGTTTTTTAAAAAAAATCTATTATATCTCAGGACTTCTCTGGGCGAGTGAGTTTTCGGTGAATAATTTTTTCAGTTTAATTAGAGAACCACCGCTATGCATGCTTATTTTTCAGTGACTTGCCATACATCCTTAAAGTCACACTTTAGCCCTTAATAAACTTAGAGAATTTGCATTAATGCTAGGAGAAAATCTGTATATATTCTGATGGGCAGAGTTTAGCCTTTGTTACTATTTACTGCTCTTTTTTAAGTGTTTCAGTGATTTAGTGGTAAATAGGAAGTCAGGGGATGGTTCCAACACAACCATTTTATCTATGTTCTGTCTAAACATTTACTAACATCCCGGGCAGGAAAGTTACTCATCCTGTCTGAGGTGCAGTTTAACTTTAGTTAAAATATATGGTGACCCATTTTCCTTCATTTACAACATGCTGAAGTGGCTTCTTTCTCCCAGACCACCGTTATACAAAGTATTGGTGTAAATACCAGAAGCTCAGTAGTTTTCACAAGGTTTGAGTAAAATACCAGCAAAATGTTTCATGTGCAGTTTAACTTTAGTTAAAATATATGGTGACCCATTTTCCTTCATTTACAACATGCTGAAGTGGCTTCTTTCTCCCAGACCATCGTTATACAAAGTATTGGCGTAAATACCAGAAGCTCAGTAGTTTCACAAGGTTTGAGTAAAATACCAGCAAAGTGTTTCATGCCTATCTGTCTACACCTTTTTTATCTGCAGCGCTGAATGTCTGCTTTGAAATCCCTTCGTTTCTATCCTTCAGAAGGGTTTTTCTCCAAAAGTAATACAAGGCTATGAGATTTGATAAGGAACTTTGCTAAAATGCAATTTAGAAGACTATCAACCCAGGCAATTGTCCACTTTATGCCCCACTTTGATCTTCGCTTGGTAGGACAGAATGTTAATGCAGGTCTTCATGACGTGTTTGGCAGGTTAATGTAACACTGAATATGTGCTGCTCTTCCACTTTGAAATACGCTTTCTTCTCTGTATTTAATATTAACAAATATTTAAACGCACATATGATTTTTATTTTCTCATTTATACCAATTTTTATTTATTTTTCAGTTAATTTTTGAATTCTAATCCTAAAATCCATCAAGAATTAGCCTGATTTCTGCTTGATGCTTGTATGTGGGGTTTTTTGAGTAAATACAGATCAGCTTGTCACGTTGTTTACAGGATAGGTCGCAGGCCTGGGTTTTTCATCCCTCGCATGTTCTCATGGATATCCACAGAGGTCTGGAAATATTAATGGGCCATTAACAGCTTTTATTTAGGAAGAAAAGGAGGGGATCCCTAAAACAATTAGGGTTTTTTTCAGAAATGACTGTGCTTCAGAGGACACATAGTGATGAGTTTGTACCATTTAAGACTGATCCCATGCCATTCTCTGGGTTAGAGGATGTGCCCTGTGGGAAGGACGCATCCTTCTCTGGAGTGTGCTGGGATCCACACCAGTCCCAGAAAACCCATGAGCCTGGACCCAAAACCTTCACCAGGACCATCTGGGTCACAGGCAATCTGGTCCCTTAAGTTTCAGGGTTATTTGGACAGCTATAGCCTCCAAGTGTTTATTCCTTTTAAATTAATGAACACGTAAATGCACGTACAAGCACTAATAAATAAAAGGCAAACGATGTTTTCCTAGCAAATTGAGCATGTTGTGTGTGTGTACGGGAGGTTTAATAATCCTGATGAAGGGTAGACAAGTGCTGAGTAGAGAAAAGCTAGTCCTGGGGCAGAGGAGGCTTCACAGCCTCCTCTCCTCTCTCAATTTGTCTTTTGCAAACTGTACCAGTTCAGAACAGGAACTGTTCCAAAACTCCCTTGTATTTCTACATTGAGATATAATAATGATCTTAAAGGACACGTAGCTTTTTCCTGAGAAACACTGCAATCTGAGGACAGCTTTGCCTCTGGGTGTAACCCTGTAAGATGCTCCAGGCTGTTTGGTTGCTACGACATCTCCCATAAATATCCCTGAAACATTTGGTGCCTTAAACAGCGGGGAAGGAAAAATGGTCGTAAAGGGGTTTTTTGGGTAGTGCCACTGTGTGTGCTCAGGGCCAGGGTCTGCAGTTCTGGAATGAATTATTCTCTGTATTTCCTTCTCTGCATTGATTATTTTATTTTGTCTCTTCCGTGCAGTGGCAGAAAGAGGCCAACGTGGTGCCTGCTGTGATTTATATTAATGTCTTCTAAACTCCCTTGGAAAATGGAAGTGCTAAAAAGTTTGCACATGTATTTCTCTTATACATGTGTCCTGCAAAGATACTGGCAAATGCCTTTGATGTAATTATTTTCCTGTATCTAGAGAAATGCTAATTGGCATTATCAGAGATATCTCCATATTTGATCAGGAAGGAGTAATATAATTTTACTGCTTCTAATGCTCAGTGTAATTATTCACAGCCCTGCAAAATGGGTGTAAATTGAATCAGAAATGGGCCTACCAGGCCAGGTTCCCAACACACATCAGCTGAGGATGTGGCCAGGGTGTGCCTATGTATGGGGAAGATGGGTTGCATGATGCAGCAATAATTTTTGCTGGTTCTTCATCTGAACAATGGGCATACACAGCTGCATGTGACAATGACAAAAGCCATATGCATTTAAAATGAATAGACTATGCAACAAAGCTGGTTGCTTTGGGTCTTATCCAGCCTTCCCTTTTCTGTAGGGCAGCTTCAGGAACCAACTGAGCTCCTGGTGAAGTTGGTTAATGCCTTTCCTGTGGAAATTTGGGTCCAACTTTAAACCATCAAAAATTCAATCAGAAATAGCACATCATGACCACACAGAACACGACATGTAAAATTTCAGTAAACGCAGATCCCTCCAATATTAACTTTATTTTCCCTCTGCTAGATAACCTTTTCAAACCAAAGGAAAGATTCATCCCAGAGAAGGAGATGCATATGAGATCCAAAAGGTACAAATCGCTGCGGTTTAGGGTTTGCTGCGAGTCACTGCCCTCTCACGGCCAAGGCATGAGCGTATTTCTATATCATTGTTTTATTATTATCCTTTTTCTTTATCCTTCAGCATCCTTTTTCTAGTGGGTGTAGGTGGCATGAGGTACCCACAATGTGAAAACCAAGTCCCTGAGAGGTACCTCGTGCTGGGCCTTCAAAAATATAAGCAGTACAGCCTAAAAATAACAGTCCACAGTCATTTATAATTATGGCTTTCTTATATTTTAGAAAATGACTTGAAAATAATTGTTTGGCATTAATTTTGTTACATATACGTATATACATATACACACATATTTATATATATATAAAGTGTACGGGCCAGATTCTGGTTTGAATTATGTTGCTATAAATCGAAACCAACTCCACTGAGCTCATTAGAAGCTACTCCAGAATTACTCTGCTGCATTGAGATAACCTGATCCTGTCTCTTTCTTTACATCCTAGTCCAAAATTAGAAGTGTTTTTCCACGAGTCAGATTTTATATAAAAACATTATTGTTAATAATTTATAATTTCCATGCCATAAATCTGATTCAAGTACTTAGAGATGCCTGTTAATTACAAGTACTGCATTGAAGGCAAGCATTTCCTATAGGAGAAATCAATGTATCTGTGTGTCCCAGGGACGACACGTGCAGTTAACTTCCTAAATTCATTGCAGGATTTATGACAATTTACCTGAAGTGAAAAAGAAACAAGAAGAAAAACAGAAGCGGATCATCATCCAGAGTAACAGGCTGCGTGTTGAGATCTTTAAGAAGGTGAGAATTTAGGAAAACAGGGATGGTTTTGTAACCCTTCTCTACCTGTGAATGGGGTCTGTAGAGGGAGAGCCTGTGCTAACCATGTGCACACCCTGAGAGCAAAGGATGGTTTTTAAATCTTGGCCTTAGGGTTAGGCATGTCTTTAAACCTGAATTAACAGCTGAACCTTGTGTTCGAATAGGCACCCAAGATTTTTGTGGGGTTTTTTGGTTTTGGGTTGTTTTTTTTAAAGGTTAAACCTGAGTAGAAAGCTGCATTAGCGCAGTTAATCCAGGTGCAGATCCGAGCATCCCCAGGTGATCCAGCTCCACGCTGCACACCAGTACCAGTTTTTCCTTGTTTAACTGCACTATTCCTCCATGCCATTACACCCTTCCAGGCCCAGATGCGCAATTTTCAGTGTTTTGGGGTTTTTATTGATCAATGTAGCCAGTAGATTTGAGGTCTGAGCATGCTAATGCCATCTCACCTGCAGCATCACTGAAGATTTCTGCAGTTACAGCCACCTCACCTATTTTAACATTAACTTAAGGCTATTTTGCACTGTTTGTTTGTTTTTTTTCCCCTAGCAATTACTGGACCAGCTCCTTCAAAGAAACACAGAGTGACAAAGGATCCCCTTGCCCATCATCCTAAATGGATCTCGAATGCCTTTGACCACTAGATAAGCCATAAAATTCACTGCTCTCTCAATCACCTGCAGGTGTTTTTTCTTATCTTTGGCTCTTTATATAAGGAAAGGTCATTTATATTTCAATTGAAATTTTAAGGCAACTTTCAAGTAATCAAAAACAGCCTGAAAGGGAACACAGCTGTTGCAGAGCATCACCTTTTGGTCAGTTTACCCAGATGAAATAATTTTAAGAATTTTTTAATGCAAATACTCAATTACAGTGGTATTATTTATCTTAATCTTTTAAAAAGTATATGTCTGTGTAGCAATAGAACTGGGTTTTTAAGACCTCAAAAACTTATTTCTCTGAAGTATTCAATTAATTGATTGCCTGTGAGTTAAATCCTTGAAGTAAAGAAAAATGAGTATCATTATTTGTTTTGTTTAGGAACTAGCTGAAATAGCTTTACCACATAAACATAGCAGCAGCAGTTTTGCATTAATACTTAACATACCAAAAGGGACCAATATTTTAGCTCTCTGAAGAACTCCATTCCTGTTTACATAGCAAATCTACATAGCAAGCTTACCTGTTAAAAAGCGATATTTAAAAATTCGGTTATATCACTGTTTTTCATGTTTTTAATTGTAATATATATTTTACTCCACTTCTGCGAGTCTTAAGTATTTATAGAAATGGCGTATTAAGAAGTGGTGCCAAGAAGTATGTTTGCACCAAAACTGCAGAACTAAAACCATCTGTAATGTTTCCTCCAAAAAATATTTAAAACTTTATTTGTACATTTTGGAAGTAAAAACAACGAGCTTACAAACCCACGGAGTTTATTTATGGAATAAAATATGAATATAATATTGATCCAACTGCTCTGTTTTTATTTGGTACTGTTAAATATAACACAATTATTGACGCTGCTTGAGAAGCCGTGCCTTTGTATGCCACAAATCCTACGGTAAAAAAAATATTGCCCATAAAAATCACGGCGAGTGTTAACCTCTGGTGCATGAGCACTCAATCGAGTGTGTTTCAATGAGGCTGGAATTTGGCCTTTGATTTTTCTGCTTTATTTTCCTAATTTAGCCTGAGATGTAAGGTCAGGGTTTTTGGAAGAGGGATGTTTGTGAGCTTGGCCACTGCGATAGCCTCCAGCTGAGCGATCGTGCTGGGCACCAGGAACCTACTTATGTTTTGTGCTCTGTTAGATGACTTCGCCTCTTTGTGTTTCAGCTTTGTTAAGTAGGATTAATGGTGTTAATTTTTGTTCACAGAGAAGGCAAAGAGTTATCGAACAAATACAGTGCATTCCAGATCGGTATTTTTAAAAACTCACCAATTAGTCCAGTACATTTTGCGAGGGCATGTAAGGTAAGGTAATGCTGGCTGTGAGGAAGAAACTGCCTTCTTCCCCCAATAAAAGCCTTTTTAACCAAGAAATGCTGTGCTGAACTGAAGTCGGGATTGGACCACACAAGGCTCAAAGCAGAACTTGTAAAAGGGACTTCAGAAGAGCATCCCCCAAGCTCAGCAGCTCAGCTGTGTGGTGGATCCGCTCTCCTGTGGGTTCCCTGATCCTCTTGCTTCTCTCCAGGAAAAACACGTGGCCTGCCTCGAACAGGAGGGCCTTTCTCTGGTGGACTTCTGGGTCTCCACCACAGAGAGATGAATTATAGCTATAAACACACCCACACACATGGTCTCCTAGACTGAATCCAAAGGATTATCTTTCAAGCTTTCCTCCAGTTACAGCTCACTGCAACAACTAAGACACTTACTAGAGAAGTCAGTGCCAAACTCCTCTCTGATTTCAGGAGGAACCCAGAATTTTTCCCCTTTGGTTCCTTAATGTTAAATTTCTTGACTTCAGAGAAATGCAGCTTTGGTTCATCAGGTTTGTACCCTTCCAGAGAATTATTTCCCTCATGCATCAATTGAGAAATACTGTATAAATTTCAGTCTGCTTGTAGTCAGCAAGACAAAGGACATTGAAGTGCTGGAGCGGGACCAGAGGAGGCCACAAAGATGATCAGGGGCTGGAGCAGCTCTGCTATGGGGACAGCTGAGAGAGTTGGGGTTGTTCAGCCTGGAGAAGAGAAGGCTCCGGGGGGACCGTATAGCGACCTTCCAGGACCTGAAAGGAGCCTATAAAAAATCTGGGGAAGAGCTGTTCACTGGGGCATGGAGCGATAGGACGAGGGGTGATGGTTTTAAACTAGAAAAGGGCAGATTTAGGTTGGATATGAGGAAAAAGCTCTTCCCCATGAGGTGGTCGATCACTGGCACAGGTTGCCCAGAGGTGGTGCAGGCCCCATCCCTGGAGATATTCAAGGCCAGGCTTGATGGGGCTGTGAGCAACCTGATCTGGTACCAATGTCCCTGCTACTGCAGAGTTGGACTGGAGGAGCTTTAAAGGTCCCTTCCAGCCCAATACATTCTATGATTCTATGATACATTTGGCATTTGATATCCAAATCTGGATGGCTTGTAAAGGAGCACGCAGCGAGATACTTGCAGCCTGGGTCAGAGACATCCTCTGGTGTGGGACTGACACCCGGTGCCAGCAGAAGAGAGCCCCAAAAGTTTCCCCACTTCTTCTGTGGCAGAGCAGAAGAGCCAGGGCCTTCCTTGTTGCGAGCAAAAGAGTATTTTACATTGAAATAGGACATTTATCCTGCTGGATGCCCAGGAACTAAAGAAACTTAATCTAACTGCCATAATACATTCCTTCTCCACTCCTGTATAATTTTATATACATATGTAAATGTAATTGAGTTTTTGGCATGCTTCTCACTGTCTGTCTGGGAAAATCAAATAGAGGAGCTGATCTTTCTGGGACATCATGGCACCCAGGTCCTTGTGAGGAGATGAACCACGTGAACCACAGAACCATTAAGGTTGGAAGAGACCTCTCAGATCAAGTTCAACCATCAACCCAACCCCACCATGATGTTAGGGGAGCACCTGGGATGAACAACACAGGGTTGGAGGGCCATGGCTCATGGTTTCTGCCCCTTGGCACACCATTGATATGCTGACCAGGGCAGGACACTTCTCAACCAACCTGGTTTCCTCTCCTCTCTGCTGTCCATCCTCAGAGGCAGGGTACCACATTGGCTTGCTACGTCCTCCCCTCTCCTAGCTTGTGAGTAACTCCACCTTCTCACAGACTGAAAGCCGGTACACGATTTGCAGAAATCTTCTGGCTTAGTAGAGGGGTTATTTCCAAATGTTTTTATTTTCTGTAAATGTAATTTTCAAAATCTGCAGGACAAATATGTGGCAATTTGAGGTGGAAATTGTCTTATATAAATGAGCTTGGGAGCATACCTAGTGAGCAAAATGTGTAATGCAAATCACTGTCTGGGAATGCTTTACATGTTATGAGACCTCTGCTTCAGAAAACCAAAAATGATCTCTGCTGCAAACCTAATTTCTCTTTCTGGGCTGCAGAAAGGAAGGTATCTGGTAATGTACCCAGCAAACAACTCTGACATTCATTTCAGCTCTACAATCCAGTCATTGTAATAGAAAATAGACCGTACAGGAAAATGTTACTTCAGAAAAACACGAGCCTCACAGGCTTAGCCCTATACAAGCAGGCATCAACTTAATGAAGTTGAGAGTTACGAAAAAAATTGGCATAATTTTGCTTTGGACTTGCAGGCATTTGAAAGCAAAGAGTACATTTGTCATAGGATAGCACTCGACACAGAAAACTCCCCAGCCCGAATTGGAGATCACCCACACTTGTCAAATACCAGAATTTTCCTTCTTGTTGGATGCTATTTGAGTTCAGGTTCTCCAGCTTTCAGCCCATGCTCTGTGTCTTCAGGAGAGACACATTTTCCTCCTGGTACAACTCTATAGGATTAACATGGTAATAGGCATTGCCATTGGGTCCCCATCTCCATCACTGGGTCATCTCTTTTCATACTGCTGATTTGTTCGTAGTATTTAATTATGAATGTTGGTTGGGGTGAGAATTTGAGATGGTTTTGGGGAGCCTACATAGGCTTGCCAACACATTGACTTGGTGTTCTCCTTCCAAAACAGAAAGCCTCTCAGTAAGGTCAAAATTTTGCATTATTCAAAGTGAAGCCCATACGGGGAACGCACGGTGTTTTAGGTGTGCGGGACGTGGTGTTTGCTTGCTTGCTGGCTGGCATCATTAATTTCATCTGACAGAAATACCTCATTAAGGGTTGAAAGCCATTGCAACGTAAAGCACTGAGGGTTACAGTATTCTGGGGATTTATTTCAAACCCAAATATTTTCCTGTGTATGTGTATGCAAGTCATTAGTTACTTCTCCACGTTTACTCAGCTGGTCAGAGAGAGGAGGAGATTGTCTGAGTAAGGCTTCCTAGGAGTTTTGTTGTAGAGTATCTGGAGCTGGTCATGCTAGTGTAATGTTTTCTGCGAGAGAGCTGATTTACAAGGAAAACAACACAGAAAAGCAGGGATCAAGTTCCTGGCAGCTCTCTCCAGAGGAAACCATTCCCCGAAACGTCCACCGCAGTAAGAACTCTCTATGGACAAAAATACCCCGGCTTGTGTTGTCCATAGAGATGTTTGCTCCTTTGACTTCAGGGACAAAAATGCCTGTGTGCTGGTGGGTGGTCATCTTTCTGAGAGCATTGACTGGCCACTTGTTCATTGATGGAGTAGATCAGTACACAGGGTTGTAATTCATGGAGTACTATGACTTAAGGCCGTGTAGTTGATTACTCAGCGTGCTTCTTGAGCTGGGTTCCGGCTGGTTGGGTGCCTGGGAGATGCCCTCGCTGTGCTCCCCTGCTGTGGCGGCCACAGGTCAGCACCAGGCAACGGGGAGGGTTGAGAAGTCCCATCCTCAGCTAAGACCAGTCCCAATTTGCAATTTTTCTAAGTAAAAGGTGATTAGAAAGTAGTGGCACAAATTGAGATATGAGAAGGGCACCTGGGCATAAAAGTGGATTAGGATAAAAGAAGATACTGAAAATCTTTCCAATATACTGTAGGTAAAGGAGTTCAGTATATGTATGAAAATATTTATTAAGCTTTGATTGAAATATGCATCTATTGATAACACAATCCCAAAAATCTTTACCTGGAAAGAGGAGCCCATGTTGCTCGTTGAACAGCGCAGGTCTACCTGTTGGTAACAGCATGGCATTGCCCCATGCTTTGGAAGTGGAATTTATCTCCCAGCTAAGCTACCTGGAGGTGTTTTGGGATTTTCTCTCTGCCTGTTTAGCTATGACAAAGCTGTTGAAAGAAGCATTTCATGTGAACACACACGTTTCTATGCTGAAAAGAAAAAGCTTGACTTTTTAAAGTCAGGCATCTTAGTTTTCCTAGTTCTCCTTGGCTTCCTACCAAAGCTGTAGGAGGCAGAATTACTTAATATCCATTTTAGATGACCCACAGAATAAGATAATGAGGTGTATCATCTCCCCACCAGCTGCAGAGTGATTAAAAGGAAAGCAAAAGAAAGGAAAAAACCAAACTGTACAAATGTGCTCATGGTACACACGGTGATATAAAATCAGTAAATAGGAAAAGTGTAATGAGCTGCTTGAGGTTCATGTTGCATAGATAGAAATATGAAAAAGAGCCCCTAATTGCAGAGATTTATTTTCTTTTTTAGAAATTGGCCACAGGGATGTGTTTTTAGGCTTCATGTTTTAAATACTGTTATCTTCTGTAGTGTCGTACAATGACTAGGCTTTAGTTATATATAATTATAGGAAGATTGTTATGCAAACACCTATTATACGTAGGCTGCTCCGTGGTTTCAGAGTTACTGCAGGTCTGCAATTGCCTTGGGATATTGCAGTCAAAAATGGTAAAGGCTTTTCTGAAACCATTTG